GATCTGTCCAACGAATGCTTACGACGATCGTCAGTGATTCAACAACATGTTCCTGAAAATGGCATAACGCCGAAACGTTGAACAGCGATTTTTCAGACTTGGCCGAACTCGAAATGCATGTACGAATGGATTACTCCTATTGTTTCCTGTCCCCACTCTCCATTATTTCTCTCCTTAAATTCCTTATATTGACATTAGTTGAATGCACTGATACAGCCAAATATCATGTAGTCGTTCCTTATTCCATTTCACTCCGACTTTGTGTGACTTCCGAAATCCTTTTTATGCCGAAATCTGTAAGCAATCGGATAAGATGAGCTCTGCCTTGGCTATCGCAGACTTGGCCACTGCACATCTTAGCCTCGTTTGTTGGCGAAACGTTCCTCAAGTAAGCGTTGTCCCTATTGATGCAAAGCAAGAGCAGCAAATCGATCGAAAGCCAAGACAAGCCAGGCCAGAAAGCATCACCATCCATCAATCTATCCAACTGCCCATCTATCCGTCCAGCCATCCAACCATCTCCCGTCTAACTAGTAACTTAGTTGGCCTCCCGTCCCGTTTCCTTCGACATCATCATCTTCTAGTGCTTCAACAACAACAATAACGAACAACCACAAGCCAGCAACGATTGTACATTGTCGTGCTCATATTTACAGATGCTGCATGCATCACATTTGCATGCTATTGTTGCTCACATCTGAGTTTACTGCACTATTTTATCAATCACTCGTTCCAATCACGGGTTCGATCATTTCTGCAATCAAACAACTTATTCCTTGATCATGCTTAAATCGAATATCATGTTCGCTCATTAGTCAAAATCTTCGTATGAATATTTGAGACCGTCGTTATCCAGAATTCTCTGGAATTGTTCGATTTGTGAAATCTGCGCACTGTTTCGATACCATTCAACGGCACCATATGAATAGTGAATGAATGCATAATAGGTAGTACTCACGCCTCATGATTCATCGTTCTCAGCTGATCGGTGAGCGAATCGTCCCGCTAACTGTACGGCAATCGTCATTTACCGTTTTCCTCCTGGTGAACTCATTCCGATTGACACTATTCATCCAATACAAACTCTCTTTGTAAGCTTTTCAATTAATTTCGATAGAGCGTTGACCTGTTACGTGATCACATGAGTTAGCAGTCTTAATAGCTAAATGGATTCATAGGCATTCTTCAACCAGTTACGAAATTCGCTTGTGATAAGCAATCAATTCTTGAGCCATACTCGATTGGTGTCTTCCCGTCGCCTGTTGTCTCTTAACTTCGTTTACTATCAAACGAACAGTTTTCGTAAAGCTTGCTGCAGCTATTCAGAAGTGATTCATCGAACTTGCTGCAGGTACCTAGAAGTGATGAGTAAATTGGTGAGGGAAAAATCGAAAAATGCTGCATTCTATGTTCGTTGATGACCATCGAAATCAAAATTTCCAATCTGTAACTATTGCAAACCGAAGAACTAGATATTTACTTTAAAAAATGTGCAACACTGCGCAAAAAGTGTGTGATCACTAGGACGATGCCGACTCCTCCGAAAAACCCTGAGTGAGTGCTGAAATTGGAGTTGTTCAGTGATGGACACATTTGCTTGTCCGCATCACGTTCCATCGATCTTCGTTCGTTTCCGGTCGCTTTTCAGGTTAATCAACAATCTATCATTTGAGGTATCAAGCTGCCGTTTGGTACATATCGCCCACATGTTTCATTTCATTCGATTAATTTTACTTATTCATTGTCAAGCCCTTAACAAATAGTGATCATTCAACAGCTATTCTCTTTATGGGTAACACTTCTAGTTAAGTCTTGTCTATCGCAGCCAAATCACAGCTTCTATTCAAGATATCATACCTTCTAGTTTATGGCCATGAGCTCTGTTGGAAAACTTAGCCAGCTGATAAGTCACATTAGCCTCTCAGCCTTTTCAAATTTCCGCAATTACCCTTCGAAGAATATTACCCGCTCTATCAGTTCATCAGTGTATCTATCCAGTTTTCAATTTCTGGCTCCAAATTTTCATACTTCTGCTCATTTTACCCCGGCACAACATTAATTTGTTCAAAGTTCGAAAGTTCGAAAATGATTTTGCTCAAATAATTTCTTATTCTTCTTCAAAATCAAGTCGTTCGTTCTGCGACGGCGAAGAGCCATAAACGAATAAAATCTCAGCTGCTTTCAACGGAACATTCCAGCAAATATTATATTTCAAAATGAACAATCAGCAAATCATTACTACTGGAATTGTTGTAACACATCCCCACCAAAATATTGTTCATATGGATCATTTTTGACATTGATTCGATTCAATGAATTTAACATTGACAATTTCAATAAGTTCAACTCACCTATCAAACAACCAAATTTTGATCAATGAGCGTTTAAATATTTGCATTCAATGAAATCAACATCACCTATCGCCCAAACAAACTTCATTTGAACATTTAATTGAAGCTTTTCATTCAGTGCTGCTGGACTATCCAGTTTCATGTCATTAAAGTTTCTAAAGATAAGTTTCTTTGGCTTGATGCGGTACTCAATACGAACGCAGTCAATTGTGGTCGTTGACTTTGTTGAGGCAAAACGCAGTATTATTGATAGGTATAATCCAAGAAATGGTTTTTTTAAACTGCAAATTTTCACTGATTGCCTAGAGGCTCTTCAATTTCCAATATTTTTTCCACCAATAGTGACCGTTCAGGTGCAGTGACCAGCAATAATCTTTCCCGTTCAGTTTTGCTTTTTCAGCTCTGATTTGATCATTTGATCAAGACAAGTGCTGATCTTTCGTAAATCGCATCATCTTGAGTCTGCTGTGAATGAGGGTTCACACATAGATGGTGTCAAAGCATTCAGTAGTGTGTAATGCTTTGATACCAGCATAGGATTCTTCATCAATTAATTCATACTGTTTGATGCTTTAACGTTTCAAATAGATCAGAGATATGAACACAANNTGTTAATATTGCTCCATTTCATGATCCGTTTTTTGCAATACAAAGGCACAGCTAGATTTTGTTTTTTGGTTGTGAATCTGATCGGCCCGCAAGTGTTTTTGAAGCTTATTCATTTGCGTTTGCTTGTTTGCGGTCACTGATTCAAGGCCGAGCTGTTCGATTTTTCACTGGAATGTTGCAGTATTCACATGAACGAAAGCTTTTTTTTTTCAGTTGTAGTATAAATCTTTGCGTTGTATCGATAACAAATTCAAGTGTTCTAGAATTGACCAAACAAAGCAGTTGTGTGTCCCTTTTAGTCGTAAAAATGCAAATTCAGTGAGAAAACACTCAAATGCTTGTTGGCGCTGTGCTTGTCGCATAGATTTCGCAGAAGGTGCGTTTGTATGTTTGAAGCAGTTGATTTTGAGTGGTCATGTTGCAGTAGTCGTCGCACTGCAATAGCTCGCCATATTATTGCTCTTATCACAGTGACGACACTGCTCTTAACTGCATTGAAAGCGTAGTTTTGTAGCATCGAAACAGTGAAGTGAAATGATCACCGATTGATTTAGATTATCGTGAAAGTTCACTTAATTCACTGACCAAATTAACGGCTCCAATTCGACTTTTTTGACCGAAAACGTAAACAGATTTCAATGTTCAAGAAGTCTCGAGCAAAGTCACAGCAATTCTTTGCTTGATTTTATCGCATCACCGCTAAACTGCCCATGAACCAACGAATTAATCGTTCTTTCAGCTGCTATTCAACGAGATGTCTCTTATCAGCATCCAGCGAAAGTGACATCCAAAATTTGTCGTCATATGAAAACTCAATATCCCATAATAGAGTATCCATCTGAATTTGATGCACGCACCATTATCTCTTCGCACTGCTGAACCAAAACAAAGCAGATATTTTCATTTGTTTAGTAACCATGTTTAATAAGCATGTTCTGATATGTTGTATGTGTTCAGAGCAAATCTTATACTCATACATTTATTTATGGTGTGTGAGTGCTGTTTCTGGTAGTGGTGGAGTGGCTGTAGCAGTTTATTAACCGAAATGCAGTTAGCAGTAATATGGCAAAGCAGTAATGTATTCAAGATGAAGATGATGAGAACGAAGTCAATGAACAGCCAAGCACAACAGACTAGAGTTGAACTGAACACTGCATCGCATTCAAATGAAAATACTGCCGCTGGAAAAAAAANAAAAAAAATTGAAGAATGAAGGGGTGATGCGAACATGAACATTCTGAACGAACGATTTTCATTCATCGTTCGATAAGAGACGGATGGATGGATAGATGGATGTCCAGGTTTTGCCTCACTAGTCTTGGCTATAGTCACTAGCTATAGCAGCAGCATCATGCAGGCAGATATCAGCAGTTGTGACTGGCTGCTTGCTTCACTCACTACTGCATCATCATCATGCGTTCGTTCGTATAAATAGTCGTAGTATGTAGTAAGCTAGGCTCGATAAAAGCGAACGCAAAGCTAAACAAACACAAACTTAGGTCTATCGTCATCATCATCAACAATAAAACAACATGAATAACTGAATAAATTGTTGATGACTTAAAAAGACTAAATCTTATTTGGTCAACTAATCGGTCAGTCGATCGATCCATTGCTCATTTCAGGATGAAGGCGGGACAAGTTATCAGATAACGGGCGATCAAAACATTGAACTGACTCTTCGTTCATTCTTTTATCTTGTTGGATAATTCAATCGGATTCTGCATTCAAATGTTACTTTTGTAATAGAGACGATGACAAAGCTGATAAATATGATAGTAGTTAGGATGAAGATTCGCTTTGTTTAGATTTGCATCCATCTATTGCAGTAGAACCCAGTAATCTTCACCTAATCGACCATTGCTATTATTCATCCCCGATAGCACATTTTTGTTTGAAATACTNTTTGATTGGTTATGATAAACGAATATGACCTTATCGTTTAACCTATTAACTCGCAGTTCATTATTCAGATATGACAACCGAGTTCAACTCCATTCCTGTTGTTCATGAGAATTGCACTGAATCATTTGTTTATTTCATCGTCCAAGCTTGATTGCAGTATTTTATTGCGATCCTATTTCTTCCTTTCATCACCGAATATCAATATTAATAACGGTATCTTTGTTTCTATACAGTCACCGTGACCTTCCTTGCTTCTTTCGAGGCTTCGAATAGTCTTGAATTGATTCGTTTTTAGGGATAGATTCCAAAATATGACGTGATATTGAGGTATGATTGCGTTCAGATCGATTTGCGTCTAACAACTGGATGATTCAGTCGAAAATCTATGAGCACTCATCACCCGTTCAAGAATCTGAATCGTTCATCCTCAACTATCTATATCGCCAATGTGCAAGTGCTCCTGTGCTTCAAAAGTTTAAAATCTGCTTACTTCAAGCTGAAATATTCTTAATCGCTCCAATCTCTGCTCTCTTCTCACAATCAGTAACTCTCATAGTTACTTTCAACTAAATTCTACATCGTCACAGGTTCATTCTGCATTTTCGGAGTTGTCAACTTCAATTAATCAACCGATTTCTAAGCACACGCATCATCGTCCACTCTTTTCCTTTCGAATAGTTTCTGGCTAATAAGAATCCGTCGTTGTCGTTCATTCATGCAACATTATCAACACCATGAACATCACTCAAAATTTTATCACCTCTATTGTGCTCNTCATAACATTCTGAGTAATCAGACATATTGTACTGCTCACGTGATTGTTCATCGCTATAAGATATCTTCTATAATCAGCGCGGTTTTAATCTACGAAATCGCTTCCGATTTCATCATTCTAAATCTTCTGTCGTAATTCGTGATACATCTTTATTGTACTTCTCTAATTGATTTTCACTGACAATGAAAATCGACGAAATAAACAGATAGATATTCTTTTGTAATTTGAAAGCATTTCGGGAAATCACCTCATTCGTTATCAGAAAAACAAATCAGATAAAAATTTGAACTCTCGAATGCACATTCACATTCGAATGCACTTGTGCTCTTTAGAAGAGCAAACTTCCTGAATGAAAGAGATTAAACTTTAAGCGAAAAGTTGTCTGACGAGCGGAAAAAACGGTTATTTTATTGGAACAGTCGCATTGATTCGTAATAAATTCCTGTATTTCATTTTTTTTAGTTCATTCGATTTTTGAAATAATGATGAATTAGTTTCTTTTTATTCGATTTGAACTTTTCTTCATTATCAGCCATTGAACACTTCACCAACTTTTTATTCCACTAAAATTTTTCATGCACTTCGTTAATATTCTTTCAAGATATTTCCGTTTTACCGAAACGTGAATGTTTGAATGGAATTTGCTGAATGAATGGAATATAGGTAATCATTGCTTCATTCTAGCCAGCATTTGCAGAACCTGCAACCTGCTGACCTGTTTAGACGCTCGAACAAAAAAAAGTGAACGAGTTATTAGATGATAACATCACGAATTTTATGATGTAGCCGATGAAATGCTAATGATTTGATGAGATCCGTNTGGATTTGTTGCATTTGGCACATGAAAAGCTTTTGTTTATTGTACGATTGCGATGTAAACGGATTGTATGCGATGATCGCATTTCGACGATTCTATTTTGGTGCATTTGAAGGATACTCAGAAGTGATGTTGGAAGGGAATCGATAAACTACTAACTATACGAAAAGAGACATATTGGACAAGTGCTCTCGTCGTGATGGCTATTCCTCGATTACGTGCGAATGCAAGTAATGACGAGCGTATGGTGCATCCGAACCATATGATCTATCAGAAGATGGAGAATTTAGTGCAGACGATGCTCGATCCCGAAAATGGCGTTCCCATTAAAACCGTTAAAAGTTTCTTATCAAAGGTAGTCAATCATTCAGTGGTGTAGCCAAGGGGGAGATTACCAGCGCTCTTCCGATGGAGTTGGAAGGAAAAGGGGAAAAGATCAGAGGGGGAGAAAAACAGAAGGAAAAATCAACGTAAAACCCAGCTGTTTTTCTGGATCAGACTATTTTGCGTCANCTCCTGCCAAATCTCACTCCCCTCCCCCCCTCCTGGCCAAATCCTGGCTAAGCTAATGTAAAACATCTGAAGTCTCCTCTATACACCTTTTATTCCATTCTAACTTTCACAAGTTTATATTCCAATTTGTGTTACAAACATTTCGATTTGGAATTGAATTCAAAATTGGTTCCGCAATGAAATGCAAATGAACTGGCGAGCGATCGTGTCAGTTGTTATTGATACTGAATCAGAACGTCTGGTTTTCAACACTGAAAATTAATTTCGATCAGCTCAATTTGGCAACACTGAGTAATGTCACTCTTTGATTAACGTTAGTGGCAGTAGCAAATGTTGAAGTGAATCAATGGCGACATTATTCAATTGAATCAAATCAATTGACAAATGATCATTTCAGGTTCCATCTGTATTTACGGGTCAAGATTTGATTGCTTGGATTATGAAAAATATGGAAATGACTGATCTAGGTGAATGCTTCTCTTTCAAAATTTCTAATCTTTCCATAAAGGAATATTTTTTGTTTTGACTCACATCAGATAAGAAATGCAAAATATCAACGATCAGGAAGGAGAATTATACGAAAATCAGCAACGAACCATCATCAATCTTTGAAAAGCTTTAGCCTTTGACGAATGCACTCATCTTATGGTTGCTTCAAATCTATAACTAAATAGAAGTTTGAAGTGAAATGAATACTTTTGGACAAGGGACTTCTTTGCCAATTTTTGCAGTTTCCAAGCCAAATTCCAAGAATGACAGCCGATGCATTAGAAAACGGCTACACTAGCTAAATGCCCCCTTAGTCTTAACTAATCGTTACCAGTTTTGAGTCGATCGTCTCTCCGATGAGAATGTTCAGCAGTTTCTGAATTGATCGTCCCTATCGGTCCATTCTAGTCATCTGCGTATCAGTTTCAAAAAAGTTTTATCACTCAATACATGAATCTTAATGATGGTGCATATAATCAATTAATATCATCAACTCTTAATTATTTACTTTGTTTTCACCATCAAATGATGAGGTGTATTGCAGCCGATGCATTGCATTTAGCACATCTAATCGCATCACACGGTTATTTATTTCAAATTGACGATCATGTTTTAACGGTTAAAAACGATGGTACTTTTTATCGATTTCAAACGCCGTATTTTTGGCCCTCAAATTGTTGGGAACCTGAAAACACGGATTATGGTGAGTGTTGTGCACTTGAAATGAATCCGATTGCCTCTTCAATAAAACCCAATCGCATTGATCTGCTCATAGCTCTATTTTGAATTATGATCTGCGCATAACTGATCGAATTATGTTTACCTTCCGGAAAACAGTTTTTTTGGATACTTTTTCCGTTATCGAAAAATAAATCTGATTTTTCGTAAGAAATCGCTGTGTTCCACGTAGTTCTCTGATTGGAACATTCACCCTGTTACAAAAGTATTCATGAGCGATATTCGCTCAAAGCAGCTTTGTTCACAAACACTACACGAGAGAGAGCATCACAAGCAGCAATAAGCACATCAGGAAGTGATCGATGCACTCGCCGTGTTTTAATGTTGAGACATTAACCAAACTGATCACTGATCTTACAGCTGTATATTTGTGTAAACGAACAATGCAGAACAAGGCACATTTGGAGTTGGAGGATTTTGAGGCCGAAAATTTAGCGAAACTTCAAAAAATGTTTAGCCGAAAGTGGGAGTTCGTCTTCATGCAAGCCGAAGCGCAATATAAGTATGTGATCAGTTTCATTCAACAAGGTCACTTCTTGTAGGCTGAAATTTAGAAATTTTTTAGTCATATCAACACTTCTTCAGCATATTTCAACATTTTCGTTTTGTGTGTTTCAATTTTGTCATGGTTTCGAGTGTATTTTATCGTAGACAATCATGACTGCTTTCTTAATGCCATCTTAGTAGGTTTAATCCTTTTGATATATATCGAAACATTTTGCAATGTCACTTCGCATACGCATAACGCTCATCTCACTTTCTAATCCCTATTTTAATGAATAGATCGGTGCCATTTCTCAAATCGCGTTTAGCAACCAAATTCACTCGTTTTGAGAACGTTCGTTGTTTCCCGATTAATTGGTTTCGAATTTTTGACTCGCACAAACAGATTCCATCGATATCCGTTGTCATTTCATAATTTTTACTATTTCGTTTTATTCCAATGTTCAAAAGGCGACGTTTAAAAGAGGCACTTTTCATGCATGACAGTTGATCTATTTTCAACTTGTTTGTGGATCTTCGGAGTTTTTTCCCAACTGACTTTGTAACTGAGCTTTCAGAGTTGATAAGAAGCGTGATCGACAAGAAAGGCAAATTTTGGACAGTCAGGAACGAGCTTTTTGGGACGTTCATCGCCCGGTTCCCGGGTGTGTGAACACAACTGAAGTGGATTTTCGAAAGCTTTCTAGATCCGGTATGTGCGATGTTCTTTGAATGCTCTCTGCATATTCAAGCGCTCTTATCCAGAAACTTCTCTGCTAATCATCATAATCTCACGCATTAAGCATTTGGATGTTTTTACAAGCTCTTATTTTAAAACGATGAAGTTGCGCGTTTAAAACGAAGTTGATTTCAGGTCGACCCAAATACAGTTCATCAGGTCACGCAGCGCTGAATGCTGTCGCTTCCTCCTCATCGATCTCATCTCCCTATTCAACGTCGGCCGTTGCCGCACATCATGCCGCACAAACGCCATCCTGTTCCGGAAGTAGCGGTGCAAATGGTGCACCGCACTCGCACGGTTCCACTTCACAAGCAGCAACCACCAACGAATCACCTGCAGTATCAAGCAGCACCTACACGAGACATTATAACTATTGTCAGCGACCTGGTGTAAGAAGGTGTACGCAAATTCAGGACACTCTTAAACAAGAGGTCTCTTCTCCATTCATTTTTGCTTCAGAATGTGCTTTCAATTCCATCGATTCGAGTTGAAATTCTCTTCAGTTTCTTGTTAATTTGAAATTTGAGTTCATCTCATTGAAATATTGAAACAATCGCTCCATCGAGACGATTTGTCATTTCACAGTTAAGCGATCTTTGGGATCGAACAAGAGTGTGATCGCCTCCTAAGATCATCATCGTTCACCACGCTTTTTATCGTGAATATTTACAACTTGTTCAAAAATATCTTATGACCATAATCAACTTAAAAATCCATGTTTAAAATTTGCAGATAAATCTGCTACAAGCGAGATTAACAAAAAATGTACTCAAAACATCGAAAGTTATCGAAAAGTGGGTTCAGTCTTGAAATATTTCTTTTATTATTCGGTTATTTCACTAAACTGACATAACGTTGAAGACATTAACAATATCGTCCGATTCGTACCAAGATGGTTTTAATTGTTGCGATAATATGATACCGTTTCAGCTTTTTGCAATATTTCGACCATCGACGCATTTTTGACCCTTTTTTAACTGCGCTCGGCACCGCAGCAGACCCCTTTCAAGGACAGCCAAATCCGTGGCTTTCGGACACTGTCGACTTTTGGCAGCATGATAAAATGTTCGTTGAAATTTGTTGGCATTAAATGCATGCTTTCGTTTTCACGGTTGTCAAAATTTGGTTTTCAGTATTCTTTTTTTTAGCAAATTTGATTTGAACATCAACATTCTTGCGCATAATCTATGCATTCAATTTTGCGGTCATTTCGTTCGATTTTAATGTTTTGACATTGTTTTATCGAGCAAAAGTTTCAGTACGGGCGATATTTCGATGCGACGACTAAAGCTTTGGGAGGAGTCATTTGAAGAGTTGTTGTCCGATCAGTTGGGGAGGGATACTCTTCAAAAGTTCCTCGACAAAGAATATTCCGGTGAAAATCTTCGTTTTTGGTGGCAGGTCAGTCACTTATTCGTTTTCGAAAACATTCCATTCGAATGCACTGTAGAAAAAAGAGGTTGATACATTAACAGCAGTTGATCTTATCTGATGAAACAGCTAAATGAAATGGTAAAAAATGACATTAAAACCTGTTTGATTTATATTTTCACACATCGTCGCATAATTTTGTCGTTCAGTTGAATACGAAAATGAGCGTTTCCATGCATTTGTTTCCCTTTTCCACATTCAACGGGCTTGTTCCTATGGCAAACGAAGCGACTTTGCATCAATATTTTATACACTCCTCTTTCATCGATCTATCATTCAAAATTGTCAGATTTCAATTTTTACTCAATTCAATTCAAGCAAATTCACTGGACATATCAAAAAGTTGCTCACATCTTAGGGATGCAAGATAAGAGACAAAGAAACTTATGTATTGCTTTTGAAGAATACGCACATCCGATAGTATCTGATTCGTGGAAAGGAGAATAGGAACCAAAAATCTAATTCAATCCAATAATCAGTTACCGGACAAATAGTGAAGACGATAGTTGCATAATTTTATGAATTCTATCATTTTTCGTTCACTTTTGTGATAGCAAATACGTTGTTGAACTCCTCATAGCTCGTTAGGAATGAAATAACTTAAATAATGAGTTATTTTAAGTGAGTTAAATGGGTTAAAACTCAAATAAGCTTAATCAGTTATGATTTGCCTTTGAGCAAAATGCACTTGTGCAAACGAGAGACAAACACGAAGTTCTACGAGACTGTAAATTCCAGTCTCACTCGCAAAAGGATAGTATTCTATCCAGACCATACAGTTGAAGTTCTAATAGATAACTTATTAACATAACTGTTGTATAGAGCAGTCAATGAAATACTAGCCCCGAATGGAAGTAATATGATAAGTTATCAATGAATAGGTGCAAAAGCTGCGTAAGTGTGCATGTCGAATGGTGCCTGTGCTCGTAACAGAAATATACAACGAATTCATTGACTCAAATGCCACATCTCCGGTTAATATCGATTGCAAAGTTATGGAAACAACCGAAGAGAACCTCAAAAATCCTAATCGGTGGTCGTTCGATGAAGCTGCGGTATGAATCCGATTTCACATTTGTTCGTTAACTTGATCAGTTTGATCTAGCGAGGAATTTCTCGATAGCGATCAGTTTGGTTGTAACAGACGATTTCACATTCCATAAACAGTCTTCGATCAGAGCGATAAACTTTTCTTAGTGCAATCAGGCTCTGTTGAGTGCATTTACGTATGGAATTAATTCATTTCTGTATGGAAACTTGTCTCAGTTTTCCAAAGAAATAATTGGTTTGAGCAGATAACATGTCGAAAGTATTCGAAAATTGAGAGTTTAGCATATCACTGCATCCAAGCAACAATTTTGAGGTAACAATTACTATAGTGTAAGCATATTCATGTTTTTCGGAACAAATTGAACAACAAACTGAGATATTATATGTATATTTGCTCAGTTGAGATATGCTCCAATCAATGAGACAATGAAACACTGTTATAGGATCATATATTTTGTCTGATGAAAAACGACAGCTATCAACGCTTTCTACGTTCTGACAATTATAGGGATTTGCTTAATCAATCGAAAAGAAAGGTATGTTTATTCTGCATTTTTAACGCCACTCTTATTCTTACAGCAGATTTTCATTGTCGTTTTGTTTCCGCAATTCGTCGTTCTTGTTTGCTTTCAGTGCAGTTTTTATCATCAATTTCCAATATCCTATTGTTGATATGAGCGCATATTAATGCTCTTGTTTCATAGATTTGTTCCAGTGAGGTAGAATCTGTATGAAACCATCGTCATAATAAATCAGTGAAAATCTTTTTCAGCTGCACCACATCTTCATTTAGTTAATTGATCGCTTGATTCTGCTTTAGGCTTTCTGATCCAGAAAACTGGTTGTCTGGTTATTTATCAAGCATTTCATAGATCAACGTCTTTCAATCACTCGTTATTGAAGATCAATTCTTAATTAATTTCGTCATTACTTCTCTCAGAATCACTGATCACTGATCATCGATCATTAATTACATCATTAAAATCGTGAATTGATTACGGCAAAATTCGGTATCTTTTTAATACGAAATCTTGATGAACTTGCTCAGTTGCAGCAGTAAGACAGTAACAGTGGTGGTATGGAATGGCGATTATGCAAAGAATTTCGCTTTTGATCACTACTTGAATTCGCATGTTTGCACGCATATCACGATAGTTTAATAACAGTTCATGAGGTCTTCACGCTTATCGTGTCTTGGGCAAACACATCAAATGAATGCGTTCGGGGATTGCCCGTCATGACGATAATTAATAATTGATGTGACAGTCGTCTCTGATAGAACAGCGTTCTTGTTAGTGTTATCTNNNNGCCTCAAGTTATTTTTCTCAAATTTATGTATTTATGTATCCTATTGTAAATTGAATGCTCTCAGAGCTCAATAATTTGACTCGCAATTAGTTTTTCATTGGTTTGTATACATTTCGACAGTGTTGTTGATTACGCAAGCAAACAGAGGTGACCAGTTAAGTGCCGTGCTTATAATTAATGAATGTTGAGCAATGAAGCCACAAGCACAATGTGGAGTGATCGATCGTTTGATTGATTGATTTTGTCTTTATTTGTCAACAAATTTCGGTTTTGTTGCAAACGATTGTTTTAGACGAATGCACCATTTTCATCACTAATCGCTCGTAAAACCTCACGAAAGGTTTCGCGAAGTCGTCGAAACGTGAGCACCGGTCTAACATCCATCGGCTCGACATCCTCTCTAACAAACGTTACCGTCACCACCAACACAACCCCGTCCCCTCAGCACAATCCCACTCATAATCCACCATTCTCATCATCCACTTCCCTACTATTACCTCCAACTAATTTCCAATAATAACTCCTCATCTCTGAACCTGACAAAAAGCCATTTAATTGATTTGTTTCGTTTCTAACCTATTCCACTAATACTCACTCAATCGGTTCACAAATTACTTATAGAACTGAAAAAAGACAAACGAAACCAGCATGTACGTTGTTTGTTATATTTTCATCAAATCCTTATTTTTTCCATTTATTTATTCATCTCAAGTTCAGTCGCTTTTTTTGGAAATCATCATTTTGGTTTACCTACGCGTTTATCTTTCAGTCTTTGCCTTTATTTTCCACACATTCCTTAAGTATTCAACTTTGAAAGGTTTTGTTTCAGTTTCTCTCGAGAAAGCACTATCAAGAGTTCAGTTTGGGCCTAGACATCAAAAATAGTCAGTCAGCATTTCAGTCTGCACAAACATAGAACTCTCTCTCACTGCACATTTGCCCTCAGGTTCCCATGCAAAGTGATAAANCAAAACTCACTTGAGTAGGGTAACGTCTCCTGAAATGCATTCACAAATCATGCAGATGACCATCTGCGCTCAATTATCATCGACTGATCACTTTTGGATGCTTCAATCTAATTTCCCCCAAGCGTAAAATCGATAAACAATCATCTATCGAGATCATCCACATCAAATACACCACACAAATACTACCACTCCATTTGATATTCCTCAAAATTTCAAAGATCACCAAATCGAAACGTTCATTTAATCGCACTGCAATCGGAATCACTTTCTGCATTTTTCCAAATCCCTTCAAAATCGGTTAAATTTCCACACGAACTCCGTTCATTTCACCCATCATCTGTCCACAAAACATTCTAGCTTCATCATTTCGATGTGATCGTAATTTTTCTTAAAATTTCTGCATTACGCTTGCTTGTTTCATTCTATTGAAACACATTCATATGAGATTAACCTCTTTTGAGTCAGTGTTTCTTCAGAGTTGTATTTCAATTTTCCATTTCTTTCTATGTATGTTTTCCTCGTTTTGATATCTTTCCTCTGATCATTTCTTTTTGCATTATTTCTGTTATCACCATTGATATCATCCCTCTTTATCTTATCAGTGTTAATTTTTATTATCACTGCTATTATTATCATCATTATTTGCCGTTCTTATTCTATAACCATCATCGTAAACCGTTTGAGATCAAGTGCATTTTCCAAGCCTTCTTTTCAAGCTATTTTCAAATCGCAATTTTCATTTTCTATCAACGGCAAGCATGTTTGTTCCTTTCATGAGTTTTCTGTAAATCGGTTTATTTCATTTTCATTCTTCATCTAGCGTTTGCTTTTCTCAAATTTCCCGCTTGCATACAAATGAACTGCATTCACGCTCACTTCCGTGTTTTGTTTGTTTGTTATTCTTTTTCTCATTTATCTGACTTGGAATTTCGTCTTGCATGATAGAATAACGTAGTCCTGGATTCGTTCGTTTTTCAGCTCATTGGGACACCTTAAGATATGGTAGTGAAAATGAACAATTCAGTGCAGTAGTCGGTGGAAGTGCTCAGGAAATCGAGATATATATATTGCTTTGCATTCGGTCCCCTTTAGTGTCGGCTGACTGTATTTCATTCGATTCAAGCAATAGTCAGTTTCAGGCTGCTTCATGAATGCATGAGAATAATTTCGATAGATACGGCTTGATTGGTCCCTTTGTTGACGTTGAGTCTTCTCATCAATGAATTTCATCTTACTATTGCTCCGATTGCAAATCCTGTTGATTCAAGCACTAATCAGATGGATGTTAGCAAATAGTCACGGGAGAGGACTGACCGCATGGATTGAATGAGAAACATCACTCAATGAAATCTATCTAGCTCACTGAGCAAACACTATCACTCGAAGTGATCAATGCAGTGATCAACGTCAGTGAAGATGGATGGTATTTGCGACTGCATGAATGATCTG